GCGTGAAGTGTTTTAGTTAAGTACAATTCGGTAGATGGTTAGAGAACGAAGTAATAGGCTAGAAGTGGTGGAAGGTGTGAAAGTTTTGTAAGTGAAGGAGAGTTGGAGTCGAGTGTACCAGGGGTGGTTGACGTGGCGTTGGTGTTGGTGTTGTTTGATGGGGAGCTTGTGGTTGTTGTGGTCGTGAAACCCATAAAAAAAAATGAATAAACAACAAAAGGGAACTTTAGTACAGTTTCTACAGCTTTACAAGGGATAGTTTTTACTGTTTAAGGTTGTCAGTGAGGTTGTGGGATGAGGTTGTAGGTAGTTGATGTTGGAGTTTTTCGTTTTTTGTTGTTTTAGTGTTGTTTAATTTATAACACTGTGCATGTTTGTATACATTTCGTCTCAGTGTTGTTTTATTTTGGTTGTATTGTTTGTACACCGTTGATTAAGTGTATGTGTGTTAGGGTTTGTTTCTTATTATGAAAAAGCGTTAGTTTGTAAGAATTCAGGTGTGTAGGTGTGCATTTTTATTGCATTTTTTATTATGACAGAAAAACGTTGTTATGTTACAGTGGTTTAGCCCTTTGGGTATTATATTTATATTATTGTGGTGTGTGTTTTTATTTAAAAACAGAGTAGTAGAAGGTAGGATGTGAATTTGTATTGGTTACGATTGATTGTATTGATTTGTTTTATACTAACGAGTGTAGTTGATGTATTTTATTACAGTATGTTTTTATTTTTCCCTTGTATATGTGTGTGTGAGAATATTTTAGTTTTTTTATTGTGTTCGTTGTTTTGTTAGATTTAAGTTACGTTGGTTTTTTTGTTTTGTAGGTGATTGAGGTTTTAGTTTGTTATGTATGTTGTTCTTACATGTTAAATTTGAGATTAATACTGAAGAAGTTGTTAGTTGTGTTTTATTATATAGTTTAATGTGTTAATTTATAAGATCTACGTAGCGTTATTGTGATTTGTGTGTGATTGATATGTATTTAGTAAGTTTGATAGGTAGTTTAATTTATTTGTCTTTCGTATTTGTTGTGAGTTATTTTGTTTTGTTAATGCTTGATGGTTCTCTTAACAGAGTAGGAGGAGTAGTATCGTTTTACCAGTGTTTAGTTAGATAGTACGGAGCTAGTCTCTACAGTGTGGGTAGGGGTAAAAGTGATGCGCTAGTTGGCTTAGAGGTTGTCGCTCGTTTTTTATATGAGAGGTTATTGAGTCTTTGACAGTAGGACAATCGAGTGGTATGAGTCAGTGGCATGAGGTACCGGTTACTTAATTATTATGGGTGTTGTATAGGTTTACAGAGTTTAGTCGAAATGGTTACTTTGAGTCACACGTTTGGGTTCCGTGAAGTGTGGGTGTGTGAAACAGTAGTACTTACCAGTAGAAGTCAGGAGTTAGAGTTACAGTGGAAAAGTGTTTGAATGTTGGTTACAAGAAGAGTTTCGGCAGGGGAGTTGCGGTGAACAGACTTTTTTATAACTATTTTTACTTTTTACAATACAAGTTTTTTCACTTTTATTACATAGTTAACACAGCTAGTAGGAGACATAAAAGTTTGGAAAAACTTAGGTTTTCTTTTTGTTGTGGATTGTGTTTGTTGGCTTGTCGGTCGTTTGGGTGTGGTAATTCTACAGTGACTTTGTTCCGTGGTGTTGGTGTGGTTGGGTTACCAGTGTTGCTTTTGTCGTGTGCAAATCGGTGGAAGGAACTTTACTTATTATTGTTTTACAGTCTTCTTTTCTTCTTTTTTTTTTTTTACAACCTGTTTGTTTTACATTTTTTATTTTATTTGTGTTCCTGTTTTTTCCTTACAGTTTTTCTTTTGTGTTTACAGTATCTGACCTCTGGTCTTGTGTATTTATTTCTACTAACACCACTCCATCCAATACTACGTGGGCTAATGATAATCGTTGTTGTTACTTTCGTCTGTACAGTGTGTGGTCTGTGTTAGTGGTTTGGCTTGTGGGTGGTTCTTTGGTGTTTGGGTATGTGTTTGTGTGGGTTGGTTGTTGAACTGTTTGGTGTGGGTTGGGGCTGTGTGGGTGTGTGTGGTTGTGGGTTGTTGGAATCGCTTTAAATATCGTTATGTTGGCTACTCCGGTTTGTACATTGATTTCTTTTTTTCTCATGTTTTTTTTTTTGTTTTATGTTCTGTATGTGTACGTCTTTCTGCTCTCGTGAAGTCCCCACCACCTGGTACATAGGTGTCGTGAGGTCTGTTTTTAAGATTGGCTGGTGTGTTCTCGTTTACATTGGTCGTTATGCTCGTCTTTCCGGGGCGTGGATCGTTCGTGTTTGAACTGACAGTTTATGGTTTCTCTGTGGAAGTTGACATTTAGCGGTGCCTGCTATAAAGCAATGTGTGGTGAACAATTGTTGGATGTCTGACATGCATCGAGAAAACGCTCTTTTAAATTTACTTATATTTTTTTTGAGTGTTGTTTTTAATACAACTTTTACAGTGTCTATTTTTGTTGATTAGGCTTCTTGTCGTTTTGCGAAGCCAATGCGGTGAAACTAGTATAGTTAATATAGACATCGTCCTGTGGTCCGCGTTTAATGTACCTATGTTGAATTTTGTGTTGGTGATGTATGCATTTTGAGATTAGTACCCTTGAACGAACTGGTTAAACGGGTCGGGATTGGGGTTTGTGTGGGTGCTAGACTGAGAAATGCCTATTATTCATAAAGTGCCTTACAGTACTGTATCTACATTACACTTGGGAGCTTTGAAACGTCTTCTATCTCTTACATGTGCGGTCCTCTACAGTTCTTTACCGAGCGGGTGTAAGCTGTAGCCGTTGATAGTTTTGTTGGCCTGATTATATTTTTTCTAACCTTGAAGAGGAACTAGCACATTGGGTTTGGTTTACCATTTCTTTGCCGATGCCAGCAATCTCTGCAGGACGAAAAAAAAACTTTAGATTTTCCGGCAAAGGGAATTGACAAACAAAAAATTGAGAACACCAAAAACCACAATTGCTAATTGTATGGCCACTTTGTATCTGTAGATGTAAGCTTTGCTTTGACCTGTGCATTTCTTTGGCGGGGGGAAATTAAAGAAATGCATGTGCTAGAGAAGAAAGGTATCTCTTATGTGTCGTTCTTTATATTTTTCAATCTTCGAGGGTCCCTGAATTTTACACTCACAATCTTCATTTTCCATGGTTATCTCATAGTTCCAGTCAAGGAGTGAATTCGGGGGGTTTGATTTAGATTAGGCCTTCTTCTTCACCCCCTTTAGGATTCACGATTTCAGGATTCCTTTATTTGCCATTAGCCAGTTACAAAACCCACTTAGTAAAACAACCTTGTGCAAGAGCTTACCCCTGTGTTCACCAGGACGGGCCACCCTTTAGCAAAACCTAAACCGTGATGTTTATTAGAGTACCCTCTCTCCAATCTTTTCAACAGTAATACAATTTTATGCAGTACTTGCTGGGCCTATAAGCTGCTAACTTTTTTCAAGGTTTTTGTGAACTTTGCTTGCAGCCTATGCAACAGGGGGAGGAGGAGAGAAAGAAAGAAAAGAGAAAAGGGAGGGGGGGAAGAAAAGGAGGGGAAAAGGCAGCAGGAAGAGCGGAAGAAGAGGGAGGAGGGGGAGAAGAACATGCAAACTTCCACCTTCAGAAGGACCCCCCCCCTGTTCCAACCAGGGATTTGAATCCGAGATATTTGTTGCCGAGCAAGCGCAGAGGAAAGAAGTAGCGAAAAGTAGGAAGAGAAGCGGGGTACGCAGGAGGGTGCTAGAAGAAGAGGGTGCTAACCACTTCTGCGCCACCTCGAGGTTTTTACAGTTTTGTTTTTTGTTGTCCCCCCCCTTGATGGTTTAACTCGCTGTGTTGTTTAAAACAGAATGCCTTCAACCACTGTCATAAAACTGTATATGTCCAATACATCAAACATTACCATAGTGTGTACATTTAAATAACACTAGAAAACCGGTTTGGGAGATAGGCTTCATAACCGGGCTGGCCCCCCCCCCCCCCCCCCCCCCCCCCCCACCCCCCCCACCCCCCCCCCCCCCCACCCCGGGTGACCCCCAAAAAAACGAAACCCTGGCATTTTTGCCTCCTTGAACAGCCCCCGGTATTAATTAATTTTTAAGTGGGTAAGGTTTAAAACTAAAAAGAAAAAAAAACATACCCCCTTTATTATTTTATTATTTTTGCGGGGGGCCCTCACACAAACCCCCCATACTCACATCAGGCACAATTATATCAGTAGATATCTAAAGAAAATATGACTCTCTAAATCCAACAGGGCATTGGCCTTTTGAGCCTGAAGGAAGTGGGTTCAAGCCCCCCGCCACGAGACCTTCGTCATCCAACTCCCACTGATGTCTCCAGTCGATGTATTCGTGGTCGTGGCGAGACACTTAACCCTACTTTTGCCCACTGAAGCCCCGCAGCCATTCTCCTGTGGATCCCTCACCCACTGCAGGAGGATCGTGAGGGACCTACTACCGCCCCGCCCAGAAATGGACAAAGGAGGACATTCAAAAAAATTTAATCGCAAGAAATATTAACATTAAATATTGAATGGAATTAGGATCATAAAATACTCAGAGTGCATCAAAAAAGAGTATAGAACTACTTTTAACCTGGATTTGGAAAACTGCCATAGTCGATGCCTGTCTCATATTTTCAGGAAAAGACTGATGCAGATTTTAGCTGTGCATAAATCTGAAACGTTAGCCCTCCCCCCGTGTTTATAGTCCTGTCTCTGGTCACCAGCAAGAGGCTAGTTCCTGGGCTCCTCAGAGTCCGAGCCAGTTCATATGGCATCATCCTCAACAGTTACTCAATTCCTTTTAAGTAACTGGCTTATTTACCTTTTTTTGAAACACACTCCACACAAAGTTACACACATTGATTTGAAATGATTTGTTTCACATCTGATCCACTCCTAAAACATTTAAATAGCTTCTGTATGTTTCCCGGTGTGGCTCCATGAGTGTCAGGTGAAAGGGACGGACGGTCCTTCGCTGGGGGGCACTGATGCCTGATGGGACTTTTGGCTGTTTCTGTGGTGAGGTCTGTCAGTCTCACATCTCGTCAGAACACCTCAGGCCTGCTGCTTGTGAGCTCCACAACTCGCCAACAACAGGGCACATCAGTCGTCTAATCACCAACATGCTGTCAAAAACCATAGTCTACAAGTTCTTTCACTTGTGCACAAGGTATTTCACTCTGTTTAGTAAACCTTTCATTATTTTAAGATGGGGAATCTCTGACTTTCTTTTCTCTCATGCATGAATGACATGAACATTGTTATTAATTACCCTCTTTAGATTTTAAAAATTTAAATAAATAAAACAAAAATACATATATCTCTATATCCATTGCATATGAAGTTTACAGGCTCTATCTGTCTGTTGCTTCCCGACTATATTCCACACAGTTGGCACTCATTGCCACATACTCCACATCTACTCATTTAATTAGTACTAGGACCTAAAATAAACAGCAATGATAGTCGTTCTCGAAGGACCATCTTAACGGAAGTTTGTTTCGATTCAGCCAACCCAGACCAGACGAGGAATCCAGTTTTCAAACACAAGAAACAATGTCCACAGAGGGACAGGGGAACGACCAATGTCCATAGGTTGTTTACATGTCCATAAATGTTCAGAATCATTTTCTTTGTTATCCGGATTTATTTGGAACCATCCTGATGCCCACTAGGACCGTTCCAACTCAGCAGTGGTCGTCCATGGGAAACCATCTCCAGCAGTATTTATACTATATTATTATATAGCTTGGTCCAGGACTAAACGGAGCTGAAGGGTTTACCTATTGCTGGCATTGTTTTTCAGTGGTAGGGGGGGAACTTGGAAGATTACCGAGGAAGGAAAACCAACGCCAGACACCGGGAGAACATGCAAACTCTAATTAGACAGGCCCTTTTCGACCAAGATTTTGAACCAAGGACCGTCTTGCTGAGAAGCGGTCAGAGTGCCACTCAGCCATTGGACCTCGGACCTCCTGCATCCAGCGGGAAACACTCACTTCACTTAGACCTCTCCACCATCTGGAGAGGGCACAGGCACCTTTTTCTGGTTGAGCAGCGCCCTACTTGTATATTCGTTTTAAAGGTCTATTTAAATGATGAATTCATTACGCAACCAAAGTGAGATATCAATCTCCATTTGTGGATAATTGGCTCACAGCTCAAATTCAATGAAAAACATCGTAAAAATGAGAATTTTCGAGCCATAATAACAAGGCCATATTCATCATTATCTATCCCAATGAATTTTGAAATAAATAAAAAAACTCTTTCACTCTGCATCTGATCCAGAATGTAATTTACTTAAATGATTATAGTTATTATTATTGCTCATTTTTATTGATAACGTTTACTTCTGTCACAATTTAATATTACTGAAGTCATAATAGTATTGGTGATTTGTTGTGTGATCATTTTAACTGGACAATGTTCACATGATTTTTACCATCCATAGTCAAAATATATATTTTTGTACAAAATTCAAAAAGTATTCATTCTTTCATGGGCACAGTCTGCACAACACTACAGGTGTGACATACGGCCTGTGCGTGCAGAGGCAAAGGCAGAGGCCCCAGTGGAACTGTGGAAGTGACTACATCAGCGTGACGTCCGGCTCAGAGCAGTTTCCTCCTCATGGCCCCGCTGAGTCGAGGAGCCCTGGTGACAGTGACGTGAGGCCCTCCTGCCCCATCCTGCCCCATCCTGTCCCGTCCTGCAGACAGCAACACCTTCTGCACACCGCACTGTCAAGACCTGTCTCTGCAGTCTGCGTTTGAGGTCGAGGTAAAATGAGACCTGGTGACGTGACGTTAGGTGAAAGAGAAGAGTGACCGCTTATAAATAAGTAATATAAGTGTTTGCACCTTTGCAGCTATAGGTTGTCTCATTTGCAGCCAGTCAGTCAATCAAGAATATGAACAAAACCACATCACGTTTTTACAGAAGAAAACAGTAGGAGGGCAGTTTTGAACACTGGTTGGATGAAGTAAGCAGTAAAGCATTTCAAGGCAAGGCTAGTTAATTTGTATACTGCCAAAAGTGATGAAAAATAAATAAAAAATGTCTCAAAATTGGCTAAATGTATCTTAAAACCATATTTGCCAATGGGTTTTTTAAGAGATACAAGAAAGTCAGGAAATAAGATGAAATGGTTTTATTCCATTGGCAAATCTTGTTTTAAGATTTTAAGACAGTCATAAAAACTGTTATACCATTTTTTTTTGCGACATAATTCATACTCAGGGCAACTCAACCTGGTTCATAAATAGAAAAAAGAAAAATAGATAAAAGATATGGCACCATCTACATGTGAAAAGCATTTCCTGTTAGACATCTGAAGCTAAGCAGTGCAGGACCTGGTTAGGACAGTGATGGGAGACCTCTGGGAAACTCCCACTTAAGAAAGAGAGTTGGGATCGGGGTACTAGCAACCGTCTAAGCAACCGTATAGCAAGCGTTTTAGCTACACGTCTGCCCCTGTTATGATGCAACCAGCTAGCTTATGTTCAAATCAGCTTCTTCTTAGGGCTAACACTATGGGTGAAATCAGTTCTCGGTCAGTCCACTTCTAATACTCGCCCCTTATCTGTAATTTAAGTAATCCTAAACTGCAGTTGTAGCTTTTACAAGAAATGTGTCTTTGAAGAGAATTGTATCTGCACTATGAATAAGTGATAAGTTAGACAAGAATGCACATTTTCCTTGAACGGGACATTGATGCTGTGAGACATGGTTGTAATCTGAGAGTACGTGAAAGCAGTTTAAGATTACAGATTGAACTGACACAACCTTCTGAACTGCCACGTTGTAAATGAGCGGTCAAGAATTACAAGCCGGCTTTGCAAAGTATTTGTCTTTCTATCTTGTATCCATTTGTAAACAGGAACGTGCAGGCTTCTATCTTAAATTCGCCCCAGTGTAAACAACACCAGGGTGAAACTTGATAATTAATGGGCATAATTATGAAGTGCTTTTCTCTCCTTTCGTCACTAAGGGTCAAGTCTAAATCGTACAGCTGTGATCCACATTGTGCTTTACTTTGGCCCGATTGTGTCATCTTTTTATGGAAACTGAGTAAGAAATGTTTAAAGCTATACTATGGTGAAGCAATAACGTATTCATGTGATTCTATGGTTTCCGACCCTACACCAGATTACATAGAGCAGATATACAGCAGGAGTCTTCAATCCATCCCCTTGCATGTGGCTCCCCAAAGGATTTTGAAATGAATAGGTTCTGCAGAATATTTCACCTAATTACTATGACTACTTTAAATGTACTTTTTTGCATGTTTATATGGACAATAGATTGTTTTATAAGCTTGTAATAGTGCCCTAAGCAAATAGCCGGTTTGTCATTATATCTGCTCATGGTCTGTTTAACGCTCCCTGCTATTTTAAAAACAAAAGAGCCCTGCGTAGTAAAGAGAATTGATTCAGGTGTCGTCCAAGCCTGCATGCTGATCGGGCAGGAATGGGTCTTTCCTGGAAGTGAAAGTCCCAGGTCTGATTCCTGGTCACAGCTGCAGAATCTTTCACACTGGAGCAAAAAACTATAAACACAAAAGCACTATTATATGAACACTGCTGCACGTTTTCCATTCTGATATGTATGAATGTCACATGAGAAGATGTAAATAATTTAAATGTATGAGTTGGTTAACACCATCAACAGTTTGTCTTTCTGGCAAAATAAACAATAACAGCAAAAGTAAGGCGGTCACCAACACTACATTCCATTCAACCAGAATCAGAATTATTTTTATTGACATTGTGTACTAAAACATTGTAAAAAAAAAAATAATAAAAAACATTTTAAATACAAACAATAGCTTTAACAGTGCAGAGTTATGATATGATGAAGTGACCATAGTAAAGGGCCAGGATAATGATAAGTTAAGAAGTGTTTATGAAGTGTTCAACAGCAGAAACTCTCGCAGTAAAATGGCGGGAGGCTCTGGTTTGAATGGACCGTAGTCTCCTGCCTGAGGGGAGGGGTTAGAACAGTCCATGAACAGGGTGAGAGGGGTCAGTTGTGAAACGACCAGCCCGGCCTCGAGCTCGGGCGACGTACAGGTCCTACAGCGATGGAAGGCTGCGGTCGATCACTTCCTCTGCAGAGCACACAATGCGCTGTAGTCTCTGCTTGTCCCTGACTATGGCTCCAGCGAACCACACGGTGACGGAGGAGGTGAGGATGGACTCGCTGATGGCCGAGTTGAACTGCACCAACATCTGTGCAGGCAGCTTAGCTTTGGTGAAGAAGGCTGATGGAAATATATGTATTATACAAGTATAAACAGTACACGTCCAAAAGGCCACAAACTGATGAGTGATCGTATTATTTTGTTTATTATAAATGCTGTGTGTGTCTTTATATTGTATTACTGTAATAGCCCAAAGTCAGGTAGCCTCACATGCCCGCTCACCAGTCCCCGTGGCCTGGTGCCACTGCAGGGGCCAGTGGCTCTGGGATCTGTTTTCCCTCCAAGGTCAGAGACTTCAGACCTCTGGTAACTCAACCCCTGGTCCAGTGCAATGCAGACAGACACACTGACATGGTCTGACTGAACTGTGCTGAGTATTACCAGCCTCTCACTGAACACACTCCAGCTGGTTTTCTATTGCGCTGATCTGGCAGTGTGCACCTCAAATGCAGAGCTAGGCTTTTGACGCAGACCAAACAACAGCAGCAAGGACGAAGGAGAAGCGAGACCGGTGTCATTCCAATAGATGTCATAACTGCAGCCTCACACAGAGCACGACAATGGAGCTGCTTGACAAGAGTATCTTCTTCTGCTTCTAATCAGCTCTGAGAAAGTGTGTGAGCTATTACTAGAGCAATTAAGCCTTCATCCACAATCATGCTTTTCAAGGTTCTGTGATTGTCTAGAGCTATTTACTTAGCATAAGCAGAAGATTGATGAGAGCGATTACGAGTTCATTTCCACAAAAATTGCATCTCATATGAATGAATAAAACATGTTGAGTTTGAATGGGCTTGGCACCGATGCTGACTAATGTGTTGAGGGGAAGGACACGGGGAAGTGTCTCCAGACTCTCAGGGCAACTTTTGAGTTTCCACTACGTTAAACTTTGGAGACATGCGGATCAGCTGCATGGTCAAAAAGTGCAGAGAAGAAAGTTTTTAACGACCGCAGGGGTTTGGGATCTGACAATTCCACTGATTTATTAAATATCATATTTCCATAGACTGACATCCACAGAAATGAACGGGAAAGTATAGGTATAAAAAGTGGAAGGTGGGGAGCTAATGCTGCACACATACAGTATGATACTGTTGCTATAATTGGAGGAAGTATCTGGAGGTAGATCAAATATGCAATTTAGTAGATGCAGTTTGGAGCAGGGAGGACAGGTCAAAGGAACATCACATGACCATTCTGAGGAAGACTGCACATTTTAAACAGTCAAGAAAAAATAAATAAATCTGGCCTTAATAATACACATGAAATAAAGTTTATTTAGTAGTATTTTCTGGAAAGTCAGTAGTTTAATATCAGACAGCGAGATAAGTAAATCCTATATATTTTTCACAGTGTATGCCACTGCGGCTTCTGCCAGGGGCTTTCTGCTCTTGTTTTAAATGTAAGGACTTTAATCTAATTGTTATTCCGCCATCTCCTCAAACAAACACATCTGATCGTGTACTGTACGTATTCATGCATAACTATACATTAGACCTGACGCACGATACTCTTTCATTCTAATGGAAGCAGGGCAGATGTTGTGTGTGTCTCCAGCGTGTGATCCAGACGGAGCAGTGTCTCTATGTCATATTCTCTGCAAACATAGAATTGTTCCGTGTAGAGCCCCCCACAGCTCTCCACGGGTGATTTCAGTATGACACAGGCTTATAGAGGCAATTTACACTTGTTTTTCACAGGGCTGTATTAAATCTGTTGCCGCAGGACTTGGATACTACCTTAGCGTGCCTTAGGTTATATTGCACATAAAAGCAGCCCGAGCAGCAGTGGTCACTAGGGCCCACAAACAGATTAGGCTGTGTTGTTTTCTGAATAGGGCTTATATACGCTTGTCTCAGTCTCATAAAGGCACCAGCCTGACTCACTGCAGGCTCTCCTTGTGTTGTGAAACCATGGGCGTATAAACAGAAACTAAAAACTTACATGTAAAATATATATACGTTTTTGACTCTTAAAGGGATTTTCAAACATGGAGAAGCGCTAATGGCACTAATAATCAATTTTTATGATTTTTTTCTCTTGTATTCTTGGGTGGATGGATTATGGGCCTCTACCAATTCACACCATGCACAGGTCTTCTTGTTTACTCTTATCATATTTTTTTCCTGTGAATATGTTTTTTTGTAAATCTCGTACATGTTTGAAATAAATAATAAAATTAAATCAAATTAAATAAATGAAATTGTTGAGATGCAGTTTGAGTAGATGTGTGTGTGTGTGTGTGTGTGTGTGTGTGTGTGTGTGTGTGTGTGTGTGTGTGTGTGTGTGTGTGTATGGAACTTACTAGAAACACCTTTTCAAACTACAGGCGACAGTAGCTCAGTTGGTAGAGCATTGGCCTTAAGGCCAGAAGGTCGTGGGTTCAATTCCCACCTCTGCACCTTCTCCACCGACTCCCACTGATGACTGCTGTCGTTGTGTCCTTGGGCAAGACACTTAACCCCACTTTGCCCAAAGCCCCCACTGAAAGATCAAGGCTATGCTCACACTCAGAGAGCAGCCGTCCTCCTGTGGACTCACCACCTGCAGAGGGTCAGTGAGGGACTGGTG